AATCCAAACAGAGCTACTCTCTGTCCACAGGGGGCTTGCATCCTAGTGGGGAGCAAACAAGGAAACCACGAATTCATGAGTTCCCTTCAGAGGCTAAGTAAGGAATGCTCTGCAGAACCAGAGTGACGGGGGGTGAGTGGGAGGGACTCAGAGGCCACAAGAGGCCTGAATGATAGTGAAGTAACCATGGGAAGATCTTAGGGAAAGCAGGCCCAGGTGGAAAGCACAGCGAGTGCAAAGGGCTTCAGGTGGGAACCAGGGTGGCGTGTGGAGAGGTGAGAGGAAGAACGTGGTGTGAGCAGTGTTCCATGGGAGTTTAGACTTGATTTTTTTGTGCTGAGGCTGTCTTTGCAGTTTAATGCAGGTAAATGGCGTGATTTAATTTTTAGGTTTTTTAAACATCACAATCTAATATGTTCCCACATAGGAGAAAACAGGTTTTTTTTTTCTCTTGTACATTTTTTGTGTGTGTTTTTTGTCTGTTTGTTTTCCTTGAAAAGCTACTGATTCTGTGAACTGAATCATGTCTGCTTTGTTTCCTACCTTCTGTTCTCACTTCTTCTACAACCTGCTGTTAGGACTTTGAGCTTTGGAACCAGGCAAAAACGGGTTCAAATCCTGACTCTGCCACTTATGAGCTGGGTGACATTAGAAAAGTGACTTTACTTCAGAGCCTCAGTTTCCCCACCTGTCAAACAGGAATGATGACAGTACCTAACCTGTAGGTTTGCCCTAATACCTAAATAAAATGCTTCTTGTTACATATAGCATTTACCATAATGCTTGGCACACGGGAAGCACTTAGTGAACGCTAGGTATTGTTTTTACAGTTGTACCAAGCGAAAATTTTAGCTTTGGCACATGACAAAAACAGAACAAAACAAAAGATCATCCTCCCTCAGAAGTTCTGAATATTGTAATGCAAACTGTGTGTGTATGTTTTCTTAAATATATAATTAGAACTCTAAGAATATAAGCATCCATGAAACTTCTCTGGCCCTGATTCTTAGATTTCTGAGGATAAATTAATTCATGGCATGACTATTTAAAGAATTCTTTCCAGAGCATTCAAGTTTGTAGGTTAATTGGAATTGGAATAATTCCTTTTCTTATGACTGATATTTAGAAATATAATAAAATGAATAATTGTAGTACTAATATACAAATATTAGAAAACAACTAAAGTTTACTGAATACTCACCACATACCAACTGCTGTGCTAAGCACCTTTTAGGAAATATGCCATTTAATCTTCACAGCCACCCTTTGAAGAAGGCACTGTTTTTTCTTGCCCATGTTATAATCACATTTAGGCACGGAGAGAAGAAGTAACTTGGCCAGGTCACATGTTTAATAAATGAGGAATCGGGAGTTAAACCCAGGTCCTTCTGATCTGCAATCTAGGTTCCTTAAGAATTACACGAAGATACTATTGGAAATAAGTTCTCCATCCCATGGCTAGATACGACTCTCTTAAAAACGAAAATCACACACACAGTACAAAATATGTTTTCTGCACTGATGACATTGAAATTTTCAACTTGTCTAACAATTTGAGAGCTGCCATCTGCATTCTTACTTGATTTCTTTTTATCTTCCTTAAACTCTTACATATTTTTTTTCATGGAAAGTAGAACTCTTTGGATGTCATCTGTTTGTCTGCTTTATGAGGAAATTTTTATTGAAACCAGATTCCAGATGGGCTTCTCCCAAGATGTTTAATAGGGACTGAAAGCTTAGTGCTGGTCATCTGGAAGGAACATTTTAGTCTTTCCAAAACAATGTGAGGAAATCATGTAAACCATCCCCGTCTTTGCAAGAGTATAAAATCTATAACTCCGATGGGTTTCTTTCCCACTCACTGACACAGACTGGATGTATGTGTGTGTGTGTGTGTGTGTGTGTGTGTGTGTGTGTGTGTGTAAGTTAATGTTTTAGAACATATTTTACTTCTTTTTAATGTTTATCTAAGTTCCCAAATGCCTGGCCTGTAATCTGTTTTTCCCAAGTGAATGTTTTCCTTTACTTTTACTGAGAAGCCAAAGCATTGGTGGGTGTTTTTTATGTCTGTCCAGCTCCTTAGAATGCACTTCCTCCTGTTTCATTCTCTTTACCTTGCTTCCTCCAATCCTAAATGCCTACTAGACAGACTTGGAGAGCCTGGAGACAACTTTCCAAGGAGAGGATTGATTGCTACTAATTGACAAGTGAAATAGGTACTAACCAAGTCCCTGAAATTCTCTGCAAGTCACTGAGTATGTACATAATTTAAACTGGCATGAGTGGAAAAAAATTTTTTTTGTTGGCTTGGGTAATGGTAATTCCATGGACTTCAGGCACAGCTTGATCCAGGTATCCAAATGCTATCAGCAGGCTGGATCTCCAGGCTCTGCTTTCTTCTGTGTTGGTTCCCAGGCATGCACTCCCAAATGTAATGGCCAGATATTCCCCTACTGGTTTGCCAACCCAAACACAAAGAGTCAAGTTCAGCAAAAGTCACAGGATTTCTTTTTATTAGACTTGCTCGGGTCATGTGCCCACCCGGGAGGTGAGCATTTTCGCAAGGGGAATAGAAACTCCAGGTGAGGGACTCAGGTCTGCACTCACCCAAGTTTTGGGGGGGCAGGGTTTCACTGCCATGGGATGTCCCATGTAAGCAGTCCTAGTTCTTACAAGTTATCATAAACACTTTACCCATTCTTTGATATCAAAAGCTATGTTTTGCATCTGTTGTAATCTCTAAATGCATTGAAGTCCAGTCTAGATACTGGATGTAGGAACGTATCCTTTATCAGAGCAATACATTGGTACTTTTTAAAAAGTCTGTCCACAGGAAGATTTTTAGCAGAGATGCTTCCTATGGCTGTAACACTCTTAATTACCACTACTCCTCTGGTTTTCAGCCAGAGAGTAAGGAAGAGAGGAAAAAGACTCAGAGAGGTCGGTTGAGGCTCTTGGCATTTTGAAAAGCCCTTCCTTGTTTTGAATTTTAGTCTCTCCCTTTTTGCCAACCGTTTCCTCTTCTCCTGGCATAGACCATCCCCACAATTCATTTATATTCACTCTGACACTTCCACGGCTTACTTGCTTACTTGGCACCCTGACACATCCATCTATCACTTCCTTATTCCCACACTCTCTCCTTCCCTCTCTCCCTCCCTGAGTGTAATATTTACCATGATTATGAATCCCTGGACTGCAGAAAGGAGTTCAGAAGAGCTACAAGATATAGCCAGTGTTTCTGCAGCATGATTTCCTTGAGGTCCAAGTTTATGTGGAACCCCTGGTGCTTGTCACTGGGCTCCTGTATTTCTTCTCTGCTCCTCAGTACCCAATGGGGAGACTGCCATTCTGCGCAAGAATCCAGCTCTCTCTCCCCATGTGTTTGTTTATTCCTGACTCTAGACACTGGGAGATACTAGAGTTTGGCAGAAACAATTGTTAATGGATGTGGGGTGTGTGTGTGTGTGTGTGTGTGTGTGTGTGTGTGTGTGTGTGTCCCACTCCATATTAATGGACAACATGAACAGATGAAAGATTCCCCCCTTTCTCCTCTTTCTGTGTCTTCCTGCAAACAGATATTAAGAAGTAGCTGTCTACAAACATATAAAGCAGAATGTGATACTGGCAAAGGCATGGGAGAAACCTTAAAAATAATCACAGCATCTGTCAATTATTGAGCACCTACTATGGAAAAGGCCATGTGCCAACCCTTGGCAAGAGTTTTCCCCTTTAAACATCGCAGCAATCCTGCGAGGCAGCTACTACTATTCCCGTTTTACGTATGAGGAAATTCAAAGACGCTTAGTGACTCGCCCAAGGTCACACAGCTCAGCAGTAGAGAATCTTTATCTTGAACTGGGATTCCAACGTTGGTAGTATATCTTTTTTCCCCTGAATATTACACCGCTTTATAAAGAGACCTAGAAAAGAAGGCAGTTGAACTAGGTCAATGCAAAGGTCAAAACGAAACAGGTGGAAGCCGGAAGCAGAGACCGCATCACACTCACAGGCTTTGGCAGGTAACCCTCCGCCTCCAGTTCCATATGGACCTGAGGCCTAATTTACCTGCTTGCGTGGGCAACTGCTCTTCCAGCCTTCAAAGGAAACTTTCTGAGTGTTATTTTTTTAAGTCTTTCAATATCAACACATTTCTGACCATAACCAGACCCTGCTATGTACCAACTTCCTGGGCAATTGTGGGAACTGTCCAATCTCTCTGGCTGTCAGTTTTCTCATTCAGGTGTCAGGACAATAGCTAATGGTCATGACCTTTTTTGAGCACTTGCTAGATTCCAGGCACTGTTCTATGTGCTCCAAGAATTGTAACACAATGACAAGGTAGGTTCTACAATTTGCCTCATTTTACCAGACAACTGAGGAGCAGACTAGGTCCCCAACTTGGATCCAAATAGACACCCTCACTCAGTGGTTCTCAAATGTGACTGTGCCCCCTCTCCCCCCAGGGGACACTTGTCAATGTCTGGAGACATTTTTGGTTGTCACAACTTGGGAGTGCTCCTGGCATCTGATGGGTAGAGCCCAAGGATGATGCTACACACCCTGCAGGGTTCAAGATAACAAAGGAAGGTCCCACCCCAATGTCTATAGCCCCAAGGCTGAGGAACATTGTTCTAGATGGAGAACCCAAGCTCCTAATAACCACTGGACTGCTTCTCGGCTGAAATCCTGACAATTTGCTTCTCACAGGTTTCCTGTGATGATAAAAGAAGATGAGTAAGGTGTCACTGGTCCAGCGCCTGGTGTGCGCCTTCCAATAATTGGCTTCCATCCTCACTAGCCCTCTGTTCCTCTCTCTCTCAAGAAGAGAGGGGTCAGAAGACATCTAGATAACTAACTCCTGCTTTACAGGGTGACCCGAGAACAACAGAGTCCCAGTTTGCATGATGGCCTTTGTATATAAAACATTTGGAGTCCATTATCACCCCTTGAGTTTCCTACCGTGGTTGAATAACGGCTGTTTATTTTTGTGTTTACAGTCGATTTGGGAATAAGTGTCAAGGAGGATAATGTGGCCACTTCTTCCCCCAAGACAATGGAGATAAGCACTGCCCTGGGGCCCAACGGACAGAATCTTGGGAAAGAGGCCAAGCCCGAGGCACCAGCTGCCAAATCTCGTTTTTTCGTGACACTCTCTCGGCCCGTACCAGGGCGTACCGGAGACCAAGCCACGGATTCATCCACTGGATCAGTGAAGCTTGATGTCAGCTCCAGTAACGCTCTAGGGAACAAAGAACCGAGTGAGAACATGGCCCTTCCGGTAGCAGCTGCAAGGGGCCACGACCCAGATAAAACCCCCGGCCAGACCCCGGCCCAACACGAGGGCTTCTCTGCCACTTGGGAACCAGCGCCTCTCCTATCTGAGTCAGAGGGAGCAGCCCCCTCCAAGCCTAAGGACTCCAGCTTTTTTGACAAACTCTTCAAACTGGACAAGGGACGGGAAAAGGCACCCATTAACCACCAACAGGAAGCCAAGCTTGTGGAGCGTCAGGGCCAGTCTGACGAAATTCCTGGATTATTGGGGCAGCCCGATGATGCACCTGCGGAGAGGGTGAGTGCTGAAAACGCACAATCCATTTTGTTCTGAAGGCAAGCTCAGGGGGGCACTGCTGGGGTAAGTAGTGCAATCCCCGAGGGGCCCTGACAAGGTATCAGGCCCTCGACCCCTCTAGAATAAACAGCACATTGTAGTGTCGTGTCTCCCCATGTTTGGGTGGGCAGAAACATCTGTTTACAGAACAATAACAGCTGTGGCATCTGTTTTATGTAAAAGCCAAGAGGAGGCGAGTTACATACAGACGAATCCGTCCTTCCATTTATCAAAAGGTGAAGCTAGACAGGTTGCCTCTGCGATCACTGGAGTCTGGAGGGAAAGGTATTAGAATAAAAATGGTTCCTGGAAGATTGAGACACACTGTCCGGTCTCGATAGCTTGTTTCCCGGACCGGACTTCCCTGGGAACACATTTCATTTCTGACTTTTAATAGCCTGGATTGATCTTTAACTATATTTTTGCACTAAAGTGTGGGTTTCCATAAAGAGCTTTTATAGCTCTGGGCAGACTCTTTTAGGTACTAATTATTTTCCAGCAACCTGGAGTGATGATACCTTTGTGAAAACTAGGTATTTTGTTCAAGGAGGCAGCCAGGATCAGTGGCTTTCTTTCCTGCACAAAGAAAGGCATGCTCTTTTGATCCTAAAAAAGAGCATTTTCTTTTAACGTTGAGAAAGTTTGTTTGTATTCCCCACCAAGACTAGAGCTCCTTGAATGAAGAAGGAAACAAAGTGAAGACATTGTATTTTAAGGCCCCTGTGTCCTTAGTGAATGGACTTTTCAATAACAGTATTTTTCAAAATTGGGGGATAAAGTCAAGTGCCTCTGGTTGAGGTTAGAACCAGGGAAAACTTAGACAGGCTCAGTTTTTTATTATATGGTTGTGTATCATGGCTGTCAATATTTTTGTCTTAATAACAACTAACTGTACTGCCATGTTGCTAATAATAACCCCAGCTGTCATTTATTGAGTATTTACAACATGCCAGGTTCTAAATACCGCACATATATTATTTTCCTTAAGGATAATGAGTATCACATTAATCTCTGGTTTTCATGCATCCAGGGAAGTGTCAAGAATTATACTGTAAATATTAGACACCAGCTGAGAATTCTGAACAGTTAAAATGGGGAGAAGATAATGAGGCTCATGTGTGTAGGCTCTTACTATCAGCATTTTTACTATTTCTGTAAATTTTGACACCAAGAACTGATTTTCAAATTTTGTTTCAAAAGTTTAAGGAAATTACCCTTCAAATGTTCACTTGCCCAAGTGAATCAGGTTCAGGGGCCACTTGAATTGCTTTCTGTAATAATTCAAAGTACATCTTCAAATACATCCAGGCATCAAATCTTTCCTGAGTGTGACACTGCCAGGCACAGGTGAGGCAAAGCCTCAGGGGTGGGTAGGACAGACCGTCCCTGTCCTCAGGGAGTTTGCGGTCCAGCAGAGAAGAGGCACAAAAAAACCCCCACAATTATTATGCAAGGTACCAAGTGTTCTGCTGGTGGTGGGAGGGAGAGGGCTGGGTGTCGGAGAGGATGCCTGGACACAGGAGAATTAGTCTACCTGGCCCAGGGAACAGTCCATCGATGTATAAACCTGGAGCAGAAAGTTACTTGTCTTCAGGCTAAACGGGTCATCAATATTCATGAGGATTTAAGAAACCGTGTACTATGTTCCGCTGAGTGAAGAAACTCTGGTTAAGCGCCCATCATTGGTCATGGGCTCCTAAGGCCATTCTGAGGTTGTGATTTATTGAATAGTCACACATTTTGTTTACATGGGCACCCATTGCCTGAGGTAGGAAAAGACTGAGATATTTGTGGGAAGAGAAGGAAAGACAGCACGTGACCCATCCTTGGACAGGTGTCTAGTGGTTCATCCAAACCCTGTCTTAATTAAGAAAACCAGTTCAGCGTCTGATTTACCAACTTGCACATATGTATTTAACCATAAAACCCCAACACACTCAATCCATTTCTATTTTAAGAAAAGTGCAGAAAAAGTTGAGAGTTGTACTTTATTGACTCAGCTTTTTTACTTGAAGACTCTTAAGGAGAACACCTCACTCAGAGCAGAAGAGTTTCAAAATGAGATTGGAGCCAGAAGATGGGGGCTTACGTTGGGAACATGACAGGTATCTAACATGATTAAGCCCATGGGCGAAGTTTTGAAGTTATAGTAACCACTCAAAAGACCCCCAAATTATAACTTGTCTTCTTTTCTGAGCTAGCTCCCTTAGATCCACTAACGAAATTTGCATTTGTCTGTGTTCCACTAACCAACTTCCATTTTTTTGTTGGTCTTAACATTGGAATTTGAAATTCCGAGAAGCCCACTCGGTGCTATGTGCATATAAAACACAGACAAGTTATGAAAGAGCCATTCCTTTCTCTTTCAGTCTGTGAACTTGTGGATATTCAAATACATATGTCTACAAAGATTTTTCACAAAAAATAAACCAAAACACCAGCCTTCTGATTGTTACGTTTTTTTATCTGATTTCTGGCTGCACAGTTCTGTATTTTGGGGCCCAAAAAAAAGCAATTGTCTTATAAGTGTAATGAGAGAATCCAGCCCTTGGAAACAAACAGGAATAAAACTTCCCAATCAATGGCCTTCTTGGTGGGAGTACCACATTAGGCATAAATGGCCATCAATGTATTGATTCAGAAGTCTTTGGGTAAATTATGCCTTGTGCTCAGTTGTGTCAGCTGTCTCTCCTCTCCCACCCACATAAGCCTTCCCCCAACCCCACCTCACTCCCCATTTCACTGCATGCTCCTAACTGGATTGGAATTCCAACCACAAACCCACAGAGCTATGAATTGGGAGAAAGATGCCACCATTTCATTCTGGGGTGGGGGTGGGGGGGTGACACACAAATCTTCTGTGTTTTCAGAACGACAATCTTATTTTTGTGCCTTAGAAAACTACATTCAGAGCATAGCATAATTAAAACAAGGCCAGAATTCATGAACAAACGAAGCATTTACTAAGTAGGCCAAAGAAAAGATAAATTATATGCCTGAAAGGTTTCACTGAGCTGTGTGATTCACACAAACCAGCGTGTTGGCAAGGATAAGATTTTTTTTTTTTAATTTTTCTCTCCTCACAACAACTGAACCAGAACTATAAGATAATGCGTTGAGGATTCACTGGGGGGAAAAATTGGTCATGTCATGAAAATTTGACCTTTACTGCTTAAAAAAAAAAAAAAACCACTAAATTTCTGTTGTCAACCAGTACTTCCAGAAGTGTCTTTGTGTTGGGGATAGGAGGAGGTGCTTTCAGCATTGCCAAACGTGGATTCATGAGATTTAAACAGGGATATTCCTTTTCTCTGAAAAGTTTAATTAAATTCTGCAATTGTTATTTAAGCACCATCCTTGTGCAAGGCATTTGAAAGATAAGTCACCGGTCCTAGTCCTCCAAAGATCACATAATTTAGTAAGAGACATCATTTGTTAAAGGATGGTTGTGCTAAGCACATTGATCTGCAAATGCATTCAGACTACAGATATTAAGAAAAATACTCAGTGTTTTTGCTTCCTCCTTTCCTTTTCTCTCTTGAGCACACTCCATTCAGGCTTTTGTCCTGCACAGAAACTGCTCTTGTCAAAGTTGCCAGGACGTCGCCCCTCCTCCACCCCTCGCGGCAGCTGCCAAGTCAGATATGACTCAGTCCTTACCTCACTGGGCCTGCCAGTCACGTCTGACACCGTGGGCCACGCCTTCCTTCTTGAAACCTCCTCCTCACTGGGTCTCCCGGTTTTCCCCCTTCCCCGGCTGCTCCCTCCGTCCCCTTTGCTGGATCTTATCCTCTACACGGTGGCGTTCCCCAGAGTTCAGCTCCTACACGTCTTTTCTTACTTCCCTTACTTCCTCGGAAATCTCTCCCCCGGTCCCAAGGCCCACATTTAGATCACTAACCAAGACCTCCCCCTGAAGTCCAGGCTTAAACCTCAAGCTGCCTCTTCTGCGTGTCCACTTGTAGTCTTACATCTCCATCTGAATGCTCGCTGAGCATCTCAACCTCAATTTGCCCAAAAGTGAGCTCTGTATTCACTCCTCACAGCAGCAACAAAATGCCCACCTACTGAGTCCACCAGCTTCCTCATCTCAGTTAACGACAACTCCATCCTGCCACTGTTATTCAGTC